GTGTGTGAAGACGAGGAAAGGGAGAGGCCAGGGGCAGCCCCGATGACCACACTCCAGCCTCAGTCATGAGCAAGCATGAGAAGCCCCTGAGCAGGGTGGGGGGTGTAGCACGTGCAGAGAGCAGCAGGGTGGCTGTGCAGGAGGCCTGTGGCTGGAAGGGAGAGTGCTCCCTTTCTTTCTTGTGGCTGCTTGGATTTTGTTCCTAAGCAGCCTGGTTTTACTCTGATTTTCCTGTCTTTTGATTCTTCTGAGAACTTTGAAAATAATCCCTACCTTTAATTGAGCTGGTTTAATTGGGCCATTGGTTCTTATAAACCAGAAGACTTTAACAAGACGCGAGAAGCTGGTCAGAGGGTTGTTTGCATCTCTTTTCTTATTCCGTTAATTGTTTGGAAATGATCTTGCCATGTCTATTCCCAGGTGCCGGAAGCAGCAAGTGGGCAGCACTACTGATGGGTCCTGGCCCTGGACCCACACCATGGCGGGTGTGGGGCACGGCACTTATCTGGCACCTTCTACTTTGTTGTCACTGAGGAGAAAGGGGATGAGGGTGATAGAACACCTTCTACATCATCCATGTCTTTGTCTACACATGGTTTTCCCCGATTTCCTTTTCTTCTGTGTCCTCTGTTTTTGTTGCATGTTATCATTATGAGGTTCATCTAGGTTGTTGCATTCATTCTCATTGCTGAATAGGTTTCTGTTGTGTGGGTATTCTAGAATGCATGTATTAATTTTATTGTAGATAGACCTTCAGGTTGTTTCTGGTTTTGGGGTGTTAGGAATAGTGCTGCTGTGAACAATCTTTTAAACTGTCTCTTGTACTCTTGGGTATAAACTTAGGAGTGGCATTGGTAGTTCATGAAGTGTGCATTTACTTTGCTTTTATGACACTGCCTGCAGTTCTCCAAAGTGGTTTAATCCATTTACAGTAGTGTTTCAAAGTTCCAGTTGCTCCACATCCTCACCAATGCTTGACCTGTTATTTTTCATTTTAGACCATCCAGTGGGAGTAATTTTGTGACAGTTTATAATATACATTTTTAATATTGTACTCATAACCGCTCTCAGAAAGTGTCATGTTCAGTTATGATTTGGAGCCATTTTTATTTGGTGGCCCTGCCTGGACTCTCCACCTCACATCTCTTCACCTGTTTAAATTCTGTGGAGATCTAGGATGTCTTCCCTTAATCTTCCATTTTTCATTAATCTGTCATTTCTTAGAACTCTATTGAAATTTGATATTTATATTACACTGTTACCCAACTGTGTAATGTGTGTATGTGTTCTCACCATAAACACAGGGAAAATGGCCTTGTGGAGGGCAGGGCTAGATCTTATTACCTTTCAGCACCTAGAAAAGTACACAGAGTAATTTCTGAGTATTGAATTCAAGTGCAGGTTCCCTGTCATTGAGAACAGGTAGTGCAGGGTAGTGCACAAGACAGCTTTTTCAGATAGTCCTGGAGAGGGTTATAGGCAGGGGAGGAAGATGCTCATGACAATAGTCAGCAGGTAATACCTGCATGGGCCTATCCCCGCTGGGCCATAGTGATGCTGTGGAGATGCCTTGGCACATTGGGGGTAATTCAGGAGTTGTGAGGATGAAAATAGGCAGCAGCCTGGGAGGAGGGAGGACAGCTCACCAAAACCTGGCAGTGTAGGTAGAGTCAGGGCAGGGCGGGGTGCTCCACTCTGGTGGGAAAGGTGTTTTACACTGAGGCTGGGGTATTGACAGTGTTGGTGTCTTAGTCCATGTGTGTGTTGCTATAACAGAATACCTGAAGCTGAGTAATTTGTAAAGAAAAGAGATTTATCTGACTCACAGTTCTGCAGGCTTATAAGAAGCATGATGCCAGCACCTGCTTCTGGTGATGTCTTTAGGCTGCTTCCACTCGTGGTGGAAGGGGAAGGGGCCAGCTTGTGCAGAGATCACATGGAGAGAGAGGAAGCAAGAGAGAGGGAGGAAGTGGCAGGCTCTCTTTAACAATCAGCTCCTGTGGGAACTAACAGAGTGAGAACTCACTTACCACCCCCCCACGCCAGGACATTAATCCATTCAAGAGGGGTCTACACGCCATGCCTCAACCACCTCTCTTCAGGCCCCACCTCCAACCGTGGGGATCAAATTTCAACATGAGGTTTGGGGGACAAACATCCAAACCGTAGCAATTGGTAAATGCTCTTCCTAAGAGGAGGCCATTGTGCATGGTGGACCCAATGTCCTGTGTTTATGAATTGATAAAGGATCTTGTAGGTGAAAGGAAAAGAAGGCTCCTTTGAGCAGTAACATTTTTATGTAAAACAGGTGAGAGCTGTATGTTTCTGCTTTGCAGGGCATGATTTTTTCATATGTACCTATCATAGGCATCTTTCTAGGGCAAAGAAATATGATAGGCTCATGCTATTTCTTAGCCAGAAAGTTTTCACACAGGCAAAGAATATGATCATACTATGTATATTATTGCACTTAAAACGCTCTGATTTTTTTCTTGGTAAAGATGAAGAGTTAGATGTAAAGAGCCACACAGTTTCATTACGTGCCATGTGATGCTTGCTGTTTCCCTCACAGCCTCAGCTTCCCGCTCCCTTTCATGTGTTTCTGTCTCGAAACCTCTGGCTTTTCAATGAAAATGCATGACTAAATTGTTTAAGCTGAATTCCTGGCTTTCTATGCTGTATATTCCACTTTGTTGGCAAGATATTCTAGTGCCTTTCCTTCTGTTCACAGAATTTGTAGTAGAAAATTGTTAAATAATTCATTTTGGTTTTCGCTTTGCTTTTTCACTTTGCTTTTAAAAATGATAACCCAGCAGGGCACAGATATTTGACAGTTTATTTTGTTTCTGAAATTTTAACAGAAATAAACAAGATGATTAGCTTGAATGTAATTCATAGTCTAGGAGTTAAAAAGAAATACTTTGGTTGTTGATTACAGCTGGCTGAACTCTGTCTCCAGTCAGCACTTCAGTTTTTCTGTTGGTGTCCTACGTGGTTATTTTTAGTAATGGTTTGAATTAGCATCTGAACAAAATCTGCCTTTTGGTATGTCTCTTAAGTTCCTTTTAATCTATAGGTGCCCTCTCCCTCCTTTTTCCTCCCGCCATCCCAATGTGTTTGTTTGAGAAGCGGAGTCATCTGTTCTGTGGCATTTCCCACATTCTGAGCTTTGCACGTCGCATCCCTCTGGTGCCGTGTACTGTGTTCTGTTGTATCCTGTGTACCCTGCTATAAACTGGTAATTAGATTTAGAACTTGATCAGTTCAGGCTTGATTTTTTCTTTTTTTTTTTTTGACAAGACTGCTTTGTAGGTGTGGTGTGTATTTCCATCAGGAGGCCAGCAAGCTCTCTTTCTGTGATGTTAAAATTGTTCAGTCAGGGGGGGAGGTGAAAAAAAAAATAAAATGAAATTGATCAGTCAGTTGGAAGCACCCAATTTAGCCTGATCCATCCATTATAAAGTACCTCATCTGCTTTTCACTTAATAATTTTAGTGACCATTGATGATCATGCGTAGATCCGTTATTTCAAGAAGGGAATAATACTTTTAAAATAATTTTTTTAAGTGTTGGGGTGACTGAGCGACAGAGTTGATTGATTTTTCTGCTAAGTTTGGTGGTTCACCATTTGCCTGAAAAGCCAAGTCACAGAGAATCTTTACTAATCTCAAAGGTAGATGGCATCAGCCTGGAAGCTCTGTGAAAAAAGGAGCCCAAGGCGATCCAGTCTTTCTGTAGAGATGGTATTCTCATGTCACAATTTCACAGGCCCAAGCCTAAAGGGGAAAAAGCATGTTTTTCTTTTTTTGGCTTTTGCTTTTGTTAAATAACAAAGCCTGAACTTCATTAAGATTTCAGTATATATCGTATTATTTGTACATTACCATTTAATTAAAAAGTACAACAAAGAGCTGAGTGTTGAGAAACACCGTCGAACTACCCTACTCCTTCAGCCCATTTCTCTGTTGGGGATTGAGTCAGAGTGGGGAATAATCTCCCTCCTGTCCTTCCTGATTACATTTCAAAGGAATGGGTCTCAGGTCCTTGAGAGAGATGCTTCTGAATTGTAAGAGATAAAGACCCATAATCGTAAGCCCTTTTTTGTAAATACTCTAAGAAAGGGAGGTCAGGGGCCTATTGTTAGGTGTTGGCTGAAACAGAGAATAATTTCCCCTGACAGTACTGAGATTTCTTAGGCAGACATTTTAATGAGGGGCTGGGGTCGTCCTGGGGACATGGCCTTATGCTGCTGGACGCTGTGCTAGAGTCCGGTCGTCTTCTAGCGCAGAGATTTGGATGGAGTCTTTATGTGCTGAGAGTTCTGTGGGCGCCAACTAAAATGCCTTCCACTTTGCCTTTGTGCCTGGTCACAGCCAAGAAACAGGAATAGCAGCTTTGTCCATTATCCCTGTGTCTGCCTGGTTGTTCTTGTCAGTAAGGACAGCTGTATTTCCCTTCTCTTGAGGACTAACCCCTCCATTCACGAATAAGGGATTTTATCACCTGACCACAAATATTTTGATTTTTTTTAAATAATTCAGTATGGATCAATCTGTTATAGAAAGCATGAAATATTTTCAAATCGGACTGCAAGATTAAAAAGGGACAGTTCAAATCTCTTATCCAGGGAATCATACCTAAAATAGGGCAGCATTTCTGTCATGTGCTTTCAGCAAACTTTTCCTTCATAGCATTTATCTCAGGTTGTAATGTATTTATTTGTATGATAATTTTAAAATATGTGTCATGGAAACTATGTCAGTATTTGTTCGCCATTGAAAGTCCAGCACTTAACACAGTGGCTAGAAGCTATTAGATATATCCCAGATTGATCAATTTAATGAATAAATGAGTGAATGTCTTTCTATCTTCCCTAGTCTTCTCCTACAAGATAACAATGACAGTAGAGAAATGCTATTTAATAAAAACACAGGAAATGAATGTTTGGAAGATGTCATGGATCTTGAGTTGTATTTTAGTGATTCTTCTTCTCTTTGTAGATTCCTCACCTACTCCTACCTCTTGGCCTTCAACGTGTGGCTTCTGCTCGCACCTGTCACCCTGTGCTACGACTGGCAGGTCGGCAGTATTCCTCTGGTAGAGACCATATGGGACGTGCGGAACGTAGCCACCATCCTCCTGGCAGTTGTGATGGCCTTACTGAGCCTGCACTGCTTAGCAGCCTTTAAGGTAATTTTCTCAAAAATCTAATGAACTCTCTGCATTTGAAAACATATTCTATACTCATAATGTTCTTCTTTGTGCAGGGGGTCTGGGTCTAAGTGAATCTACACTCTTGTCTATAAAATGTTGTGTATTTAAAGTTTTTCCAGTAGGCAATATATATTTTAAAGACCTTAGCAGGGTTACCAGATCATGACCACCTTAACTAGATGTCTTTGTTTCTGCTAACACTGTAGAAATTGAATCTGAAGCTTAATGTTTGTAAACAATAAGGTTTTCCTGCTTTCATTGGTGAATTTTTAAAGTAATTGATTTGATTTAATGTAATGATAAATGAAGTAGTGATAAAGAACATATTCATAACTGCCTAAAATATGGTTGACTCTACTTCCAGTAATGAGTGCTTGAGGTAGTTAGGTGATTTCTCCCCCTACCCCCCCAAAAAAACTATAAAACTGGACAAAATCATTAAGTATAGCCATGTCAAAAATGATTACAGACAGCAAAGAGCTTGAAAATGTTTACTTATGAAAAACTGCTGCTGCATTGGATAAGTTACTTCTTGCCTGAGGGTATTTCCATCCTCCCAGATCTGGTGGTAAAAATCCATAAGTCTGCTGGCTGGAATTGGCTGATGTGGTTTAAAAGGGAAACAGAGTGGCTAGAAATTTAAGGGGAAGATTTTGGAAGCAAGAGAGCTGTAGAAGTGCTGAGATAATATACTGTCTGTGCATTCATGGCTGACTATTAAATGACATGGCATACGGAATTTCCTAGGAAGCACAAGCAAAATTAAAAGCCTGGGGAGACTTACTTATTTGCTGCAAATTTGAATGAATTCTTCAACTCATACACAGATTGGGCAGCAGAGAGTAAAAGCTTCACTGGCTTGACTTGTCTGTATAACCTCTGTCCAAATCATTGGCTGATCACAAAGCCCCATGCAGGCACAAGAGAGATCCCCAGAGTTCTGGGCAAAAGAAAAGGAAAAACTGAGCAAAAATTTTAGTACTCTTCAGAGAAACAGATTTTCCAGTTTGAGTCTAGGCAAGTTCATCGAATATATTAAAACAGCAGCACTAACCCTTTCTTCAGAAAAACAAAATAGAATTCAGAGGCACTACAATATACAATATACAATGCCTAGTTTTTAACCAAAGATTACTAGACATGTAAAGACACAGGAAAGTGTGACCCAAACTCAGAGAAAAAAAAAAGAAGTCAATAGGAAATCAAATAGAATTACGATTCCAGAACTAAACACATACTTATGTGGTCAATTGATTTTTGACAAAGTTACCAAGTTAATTCAACCGGGACAGTCTTTTTCTTTTTAATACAGCTGTGCTTGGATAGATAGTCTTTTAAATAAAAGATGCTACACAGAAGTTAATTCTAAGTGGATCATAGCTCTACACAAAAAAATTAAATAATACCAAAATTCTAATAGAAAGCAGGAGAAAATCTTTGTGAATTTGTGTTAAGCAAAGATTTCTTAGTACACATAAAATTAAAACTATAAAATAAAAAGTTGATAAATTGGACATCTCAAAATTAAAAATTTTTGGAAAACTGGTGCTCTGCTTGCTGGGCATCAGGACTCAGTGTGGCAAGTGGACCTTGGTGAGGTGTTTTGTTTTGTTTGTTTTAAATTCTAATACTAATGCCAATCAAGGGTACATTAAAATAAGGTATTGCAACAGAAGCCAGCCAGCTGAAGAAGCTTATTAATGATTATATTTCACATTGGAAGTGGAAGCTGGAGATAAGATTTTCTCACTTTAAGCAGTTTTGATGGCAGAAAAAATAAAGAAGGTCCTAAAGTGTAGGGGAAGCAATGGAGGAACTCATGGGACCCGATGGACACAAATGGGCCAATACGGATGCAGAAGGATGAATGTTGGCAGCTGCTTTTACCCATAGCTGTGCAAGGAAGGGTGAGGGAGATGTCAGGAGAGAAGCCCAGTCTATCCTGTGTGATCCCTACGGTAAAGCTTCAGTAACCCCAGGGAAGTGACCTGCTCTGCCTGTGCAACTGCAGTAGCCACGTTTTGAAAGTCACGTTACTTCAGAGACAGTCTCAGAACCTCCCAAAGACTCCGAACGCCAGCGATGAAGAGAAAGGCGCTGCATAGAAAGCCAGGTGAGAAGTATTAATGACAGATGACTGTCAGTGGATCGACTCTGATACAGAAAGTGCTTGGATCTTTGTGACTTAAGACAAAAGCTGGTGAATCTGCAGTTCCAGGAAGACAGGGAATCCCCAATTGATATTTAATAGAAATTTAATCTACCGCATGAATACCAAGGTATTTCTCAAGATCAGTTTATTTGCTATCTACAAAGAAAAGGATGGGCCCTCCAGCTCATGAACAAGACCCAACTGTGTCCAGCAGACCCATGTCCTTTATTCTCCCAAGTCTGGATGAATTAAGCCAAAACCCCAGCAAGGTAGACCAGGTAGCCCCATATTTTAAGTATAAACAAGACTTGGACTCAATGTGGTTACCTGGTGAAGATCACGGGAAGAAGTTACACTGGGGTATCCAAGAGCAGATGCCTTGTCTAGCAGAACACCAATCCAAACCCCGGCACATATGTGTTCCAAAAAGTTACCTAGCACCAACTAAGAAGAAAAGATCTGCACTCCATTGGGGTGTTTGTTGTGACCTTGCAAGAGTTGTCATGCCCAGGAAGCTTCCCTTCCATTTTTCTCCTTCTTAAATCTTTTTAACCTGTCTCTACTTTCACAGAATTGTTTGGGATAACCTGGTTCTTTATAGTTGTCCTTTTAAATAGAAACAACTGAGTTGAAAAGCCCACAGAACAGTGTAGAGTAAGAGCTTCACCCAGCATTGGTCTTTCCTAGCTATACATCACTTTGGTATCAGATGCCACTTAACTTCCAAATTACCACTCAATCTAGCAATTGCAAGAGAAATCATGCCAGAGAAAGAAAAACAGACCTGATCTTTCCATTTTGTCAAATTAGTACACACCATTTCTGTCCCATAGTCTTTTTACCTTTGGCCAGTGTGAGTTGCTGTGTTTTAACGTGTGTTTTTAAGATAAGTTGCTGAGCATTAAGCTTATCAATTAAAGAATTTTGGAAATTTGTGGGGGAAAAAAACAAAATTAAAAATTTTGCTCATCAAAAGTTAATTAAATGCAGAAGCAAGGCACAAACTGGGAGAAAATATTTGTAAAACATGTATCTACAAAGGACTTATATCTGGGATATTTAAAGTGCTCCTAAAACTCAATAATAAGACAAAAACTCATTAACGTGAGCAAAAGATTCAAGTAGACACTTCACAAAAGAAGATATACAAAGTTTTTAATAAACACATGAAAATATGCTCAGCATCATTAGTCATTAGGAAAATTCAAATTAAAGCTACAAAGAAATACCACTACATACTCACTAGAATGGCTGTCATTTAAAAGATTCACAATACTAAGTATTGGTCTGGAACTCTCAGACATTTCTGGTGGGAATAAAAAATGGTTCAGTTACTTTGGAAAAAATTTGGCAGTTTCTTAAAAAGTTAAACATAAAATTAAACAATTCTACCCATTAGTATCTCTTGAAAAGAAATGAAAACATATCCTCATGTAAAAATCTTATATGGGAACATTTGTAGCATCTTTATTTATAATAGCTGAAAAAGGGAGACAATTTAGTGAGCTAACTTGTAAATGGACAAACTTAAAGTGATAAATTACTCAGAAATTTAAGAACAAACTACTGATACATAAAGCAACATGGATGAACATGGATAAACATCGTGCTGAGTGAAAGAAGTCAGACATACAAGACTACATACTATATAATTCGATTCATATGAAATTCTAGAAAAGACAGAATTATGACAAAAAACATGAAGTTGGGGATTTATTGCAAATAGACCTGAAAGAACTTTTTGAGGTGTTTTATGCTTTTTAAAATGTGATTGTGGGGGTAGTTGTTAGACTCCATATATTTATCAACACCCACCAAAATGTACATTTAAAAATGGGCAAATATGTTGTATGCGAACTGTACCTCAATAAAGGCATAAAAAGTGATTAAAACAAACATATCAGTGGCTGGAATGAATATAGAACTGAAATTTGAATACAAAACATAAGATGCGATCCTGAAAATTTGATGAAGAGAATTTTGAATGATTAAAACCTTTTTTATTATTGAGATGAAAGTCATATAGTGTATAATTAACTATTTTAAAGTGTACAATTTAGTGGTACTTAGTGAATTTACAATGTTGCACAATTACCAGCACTTTCTAGTTTCAAAGCTTCTTCCTAACCCCATAAAACACTCCATACTCATTAAGTAATCACTCTGAACTCCTCCATCCCCCGGTATCCTCTAATCTGCCTTCTGTCTCTGGATTTGCCAGTTCTGGATATATCGTATAAAAGAAGTCATACAATATCTGACCTTTTGTGTCTGGCTTCTTTCATTTAGTATAATATTCTTGAAGTTCACTGAAGTTGTGGTATGTATCAATATTTCATTCCGTTTTATGGATGAACAATATTTTATTGCATGTATTATAAGGGTAGAGAAACGCCACCTCCATCCTTTTAGAGTCCTGACTGGGTTTGAGAATTAAAGATAGATTAACAAGAGAAAAGCTTCCAAATATATTTGATACAAGTTTTACATGGCACAGCTGCCCTCATAAAAAATGAAAACCCAAAGAAGCAGTTAGTGGCAATTATTTATATACTGGATTGGACAAAGAACAGTAAATTGTGAAGATGCAACTAAATTATGTGGCAAGCCTTAAAACATAAGCGTTACTTTAACAAAGTCTGTACAGAATTCTCTTGGTTTCTACTTTTCGTCCTTGAGGATATGGATGTTGTATCTTTCTAGTATAGGGAGGGCATCTTTCACATGGGAATTTCATCTTTTACTTTTAAGTAACCATATAACAAGGTCAAAGTGATCTTTTTATACCTTCTGTTTTTCAAGTGTTGCTAACTTAAGTAATAAA